ATGGATGGATGGATGGATGGATACTGAGTTAGGAAGATGCGTGCATGGGGTATCACATTATAATTATATACAAGTATGGATACAACGGAAGTGGGGGGTAAGTCAATGGATCGATAGTTGGATGAGGCATGGATGTAGAGACGGATGGGTGCATGGGTAGGTGTGAAAGGGGATAATGAATGGATATAATATGAATGATTTGTAGATAGTTATGAGGATGTACGCATGTGTGTATTTCATAAATAGATTCAAGTATGGATACAAATACACAGTTTTATGGCTGGAACCATATAAAAAAAAAGGTTATTAACTAAACACGCGCTTGGTCTTATAAAAATCAAGTATTAATATATATGCATTAATCTTGGTCATGAAACTTTTGCTTTTCACAGCTGTTTACAACAGACACGATGTCTGTATGGTGGATAATTCGCAGTGTGCAGTTACATTTGATTTTATTTTTGCTGGTAAGTTTTGACTTTTTACAACGATTTTTTTGCATTTGTATTTTTTATTACTGTTTCTTAACGTCAAACGAACAGAAATACTAGAGAAATCAGAAATACGATACTATAGTTATACAGATATCTATAGACATATTGGTTAAATGAACTGAATACAGCTGTGGCTCATTGATAGATGGGAGGGAGGGAGGGAGGGAGGGAGGGAGGGAGGGAGGGAGGGAGAGAGTTACCTCGGAAGAAAGGACTGACGGAGGAGGCAAATGGTCGAATAAGGATGGATAGACGGAGTGTTGGGTGTATGCAGGGACGGATGGAGAGATCTAGATGGAGAATCGGACTGATGTCGCCAGGATGCATACGTGGGTGGATGGATGGATGGATGAATGAATAGATGAATGAATAGATGGTCGGACGGCTAAAATCTTTATATACTTATACGGAGTTACAATTGCGGTAACATCTAATTTTCTATTTTAATTGCCAGAACCTTTTGTTCCTGTTCGCAACTTATATTGTACTGCACTGGCCGTTTACGAATCATCTTCGGCCTCCAGTAACCTGGTATTATGGATGCTTCTTATCTTCCTGTTAATAACTGTGACGTTGATTGGTTTTGTCATCTCATTACTCATCTGCAAAAGGTGAGCAACTTGTGCTACTATGAAGTCTAACTTTGATTGGATTAACTTGTGTTACAACTAGCCATAGTTTGCAGTTAACTCCATAGTATTATTGGACATACATGTTTGTTGGGACTATTTCGAAAGTCGATATTCTAATCACTGCAATGGATTTTAGCCCGTACCTTATCAACAGTGTTTCTATTACTTCTTAGATCAAAGTCGAAGTCAAGAAACGTTTCCGAAAACATAGAAGAGCAGTCATGGAGGAAGAAGCAATATTGGCCTTGCAGCTCAGCTACAAGCTTACAGCTGTACAGGCCTGTTAGCAGCAGAAGTCACCTTCAATTTAATGTCATCGAATTGTTTAAAGAGTTTACAAGACCCAAGCTTCTCTTTCATGGTGCTAATCCCGAATTGAGGCTATGCCTTAACAGCATTCGGGATGAAAATAGTTGTTCCACAACTAAAATCCTACAGGTTTACAGACCTGTTAGTGAGCTCAGCTCCAGGACCATCCTTGAACATGCTGTTCCAAGTATCAAGATGGTCTTGACGACAACGCGTTGGAATTTTTCCAGGAGTTCTCAGATCATCTCCAGACCCAATATGTCTCTTGACGTATACCGACGGGCTAGTGACAGACTCAGCCATACATACTCACATGTACCTGTGCAGAGTATCTTTCCAACGCATTATTGCACATCGCTTGCTAGTAGTTTACAGATCATCTCTAAACAAATTACAATAATAGATCTATATAGACAAGCAAGCTGTAGAATCATCCAGATCAGTGCCATCCACATATTCTACCACGATACCCAACTGACCATCCTCGTCGTGTCTTGTCGCAGTTACACATTTTACTGCAGCAGTTTGCTGACCATCTTCAGGCCTGAAATGGCATTGACCCAGTTTGGTGAAACTGTGAGAATTCTGCTGATTACAAGTCCTCTGGTTTACATACCAGGTAACTTTGTCTAACAACAACTCACACGCACCATATGCGTGCTAATCCTGCAGGTTATCCTAGTGTCACCTATCTTTATAAGAATAATGGCAGCTTATATAATACGTTCATATCCTGCCTCAGCTCCTCACGCAGATGACTGCATGAAAAACCTTCAACAATGTGGGGCAACAGTGCCTTCACCTTGATGAAATATACCATGGTCAAAAAGTGTTCTTCCAAGATGAGCTAAGGATACTTATGTATGTAAGAACAAGAACCTTGGCGCTGCTTGGAAGAACATTGTGACAAGTGCAGGTTACCTTCATAGTTTATATGTGAACTGGCTCGAAGCTAGCAGCACGTCTAGCCTGCGCATGCTGAAGAGGTATAGAGCTACTGCAGATGATTATAGCTTCATACCCTGTATTGAAGATTAATTCGTTGAATCGTTGAATGTAATTATCGTTACTGAATAAAATTGTCTGTGTGTTTGCAGATTATGCCAAAGCAAGACTCCAAAGTATTTTCTCATCTTATGGAGAAAGTAAACAACTGACTTGCATGAAAACTCTTTCCACAAAGGGATCAATGCAACACTTTCCACGATATGGAAATAAAATCGATCCTTTACAAGTAAGGAAACTATTGAATTACCTTACGTCTTACAAGACCCAAGACATCACTGGATGTGATGCTCAAGTCTTCTTGTTAGTCCCAGGAATGAAGATCTACATGCCTTCGACTCRTCATCGCATGATTTACTGGAACATGCAGATAACAATTTCATTCTTTCCCAAGATCTCACTGAAAGGCTTGAAGAACTTTTGCCTCAGAATCATCGGAAATAGACCTAATGATGATGTAACACCTGGAAATGAAGGGACAAAAAGGACAGAAGACCAAGAATTTGAGATTGGCCAAGATGTAGGCCATAGTGAAGCAGAAGATATGGCCAAGCAAAATGCGACGCAGAACAACCATGAAAATGGTC